AAAAAAAAAAAAAAAAAAAAAAAAAAAAAAAAAAAAAAAAAAAAAAAAAAAGAACAAAACAAATGAAAACAAAATGAATCAAAACAGCTCAAATACCAACTAACTTTTTAATGCAAAACCAACTCAATTCAAAAGAGTATTTATCATTCTTCTCTGTGTGCATAATGTGGGGGCACCTGTGTTAGAGTGCCCGTGTAGAGGTCAGAGGAACAGTTTGTGGAGTCGATTCCTTACTTCCTTTCCTTGGGTCCCAGAGGTTAAACTTGGACTGACAAGGCTGTCCAAGTCCCTTTGCCATCTTGTTAGACCCCAAACCAATAAACACTATTTAGAATGTATTTTCTGGATGCAGAGGAAGGAACCGAAGAAGGAGAAACATGAAGGAATGTTCTGAGGCGACAGGTATACTTCTATAGCTGTTGGATGGTGGCCGTGAGAGGCATGTACACAATAGTCAGACTGTACCTGAAGGCCCTCTGGATTGTTCCCATATGTATCCAGATGCTTCTCTCATGCACATATAATACATTTGTAATTGCAGACACAACAGTCTAAGAAACCATACCCAACCACAGAAGCCGTGCTGCCCCAAACTAAGGAATACATATCCTGAACGAATAGCATGCATGCCAAGCCCTGTTCTGCTTGCTCACAGTTACATACCCACTGGGATCCTTTTTCTTCCAGTTTGCCAGGACGCAGTCTGCGTAAGACAGGATGGGAGGCAGGCCCAGCTTCTCGGAGAGTTTGCAGTAGGGAACAGCGATATTTCTGGGCAGCACCTGATTCAAACACACTGCTCATCGTTAGCCACTGATACGCCTTACCTTTTCTTCTCATCTCATTGTCAAAACCTGTCCTGGATCACAGACAGCACTTGGAAAGCCAATGTGTAATTTTCCTCTCTCACATTTCCTAATGTAACCCTGGTGATTGTTCGGTGTTCCTGTTTGGGATGTAGGTTGTTGGGGACATAATTTGACCGCAGACAGGAAGAAAAGATAAAGAGCCTGAAGGTTTTCTTTTCTAATAACCCTGGGTGGTTTTCACTCTGTCCTTCACCCATCCATCCCATGAGACACCATGTTACTAGTGGCAGCAAAAAAGGAAAACTCAGTTGTCTCTGAATTTCTTGGCTTTGTTAAGGACAAGGGATGTGACTCATTTGAGAAGCACAGGCAGATTGCTGTCCCAGAACACACTGAAGCAGGAAACACTCCTGGACAGCGTGCTCTCTCTCTCTGTCTCTCAGTGTGTGTGTGTGGTATGTTTATTTTGTTTTCAGCAAACTTCACTATACCTGGCACTGGTGCCAGGCATATTGATGCAGGCATGCTATCCCGCTACTTGGAAGGATGATGCAGGAGAATTGAGAGTTCAAGGCCAGTCCAGGACACAGAGTGAGTTCCAGACTAGTGCTCCACAGTGAGACTGTCTCAATACACAAAACAACAGCAGCAGCCCACAATCTGTGAGTTCTAGCATTCCTTCTAACTGGAGAGAAGTGACTGGTAATCTTGATTGTCAACTTGATTCCGACGAGAGGTACATAGGTTGGTACAGCGGAGTCTGGACATCTCTGAGAGGGTGTTTCCAAAGGTTAGCAAAGCAAGGATGTGCCCTGGTTGTGGGTAGAAGGGTCTATGAGGCAGCAGCCCAGGTGGAGTACCAGGGAAAGAGCAGGAAGTCTATGGCACAGAAATCTGTCTCCACTCTCTGGCCACCATTCTCATGCTCCCACAACATGAGGCCAAGTGACTATGGACTGAAGCCTCCGAAGCTGTGAACTAAAATAAATACTTCTTCTCTCCCTTAAGTTGCTTTGTGCGGTATTTCATTGGTGAAGAGAAAACCAGCTTTCCCTGGGGGTGAGTAGTGCATCCGCCTGGCAGACTCTTAGTTCCCTGGTGTCCAGGCCGAATTCTCCCAGTGGTTTTATTAAGGATACAGCTAGCACTGTGTTCTGCATCTGCCTGGCTTAACATCTTGTGACTTAGAACTAAAGGGTCCCATGCAGTGATTAAGGTGATCACTGTCATAGTGAGTCACAGCTGGGGTGTGTATATATATATATATATATATATATATATATATATATATATATATAACACAGGGAAAAGGTAAGGGACCAAAGGCCACTCTAACAGTATAAAATCAGCACCATAACACACAGACGGAGTGACAGTCAGCCGATGCCACAGTATTGAGAAATTATGAGTGTTATAATGACTCCAGGTTAGCTCGATATACTCATGGGAGGATTTAGCCAAGAGAGTAAAATCAGGACCACTGGTCATCACATCCCACTATGTATGCTGCGCACTGTAGACACTGGAACACTTCAGCTGCAGGTAGCCAGACATGTTTCAAAAGGAAATACATTTTCTTCATCAGAGGTTTACAGACACAGGACCAGAGGGGAACAGGGAAGCCTTTCGTCAAATAATCTGAGCTGGCTTGGGAAAAGCAGAGGGAGTATCCTAACACTTACTACAGCCCGCTTTGCAGAAGCGAAGAAAGTCAGAATATTGCCTTACATTTTGCTCATTTATTTTCACTTTGAAACAAACCCCTTACTTAGGATAAGTTGCTGTATAATTTTATCATCAGAATTTAAAAGTCCAACAGGGTCGCGACCAATTAAAATGTGTTCCACTTCAACTTTCTTTCGTAATTCTGACTTCCCAACTGAGTCGAATAAACATGTTTTGTGGGATTTGTTGTTTTTAATGATGCCAAGAGCATGATGGCCTCTACACGCAAACTTTTAAGATGTAGGCCTGTGGAGCCTAACATGCACACGGTCCTGGGCTCAATTCTAGGGTTAGGAAGCACCAACTCCCCAGCATCACAAATAGCAATCATAATAATACAGTTCTAATATTTAACTCCTTGCAATACTAGGGTTCAAACCTAGGGTCTTCCACATGCCAGCAAGATCGATCTCTACAACTGAGTTGTGTTCCAAGTCCTCAAAAGATTTTACATTTAACATAAGCTGGAATTCATTTTCATGTTAATCAAAGCCCAACATGAGAAATACCAAAAAAGAAAGAAAGAAAGGAAGAAAGAAAGAAGGAAGGAAGAAACAAAGAAAGAAAAAAGAAGAAGAAAAATCTCCAAACCTTTCGAATATCACCGTCCCCTCGGTTCCACACATACGCCATGGTGATGTACCCCAGAGCCAAATGTGCCAGGCGCTGCGACCTGTGCCCTTTCAGCTCGTCAATGTTGAGCGTTGGCAGCTGAGAACAGATGGAGAAATTTGGCTAACATCAACCCTGGGAAGGTTGTAGGTTTTAAAACCAAGATTGAGCCATGAAGAAAGAACACAGAAAGGCGATTACACGGGTTTTCAAACCTTCTCAACTTCTTCCCGAAGCCGCCCATTCTCGATCAGTGCAGGAAGATTTCTGGCAATGCGGTTCCAGGCGCTGAATGTATGGGGCAGTTCCTCCTTGAAAAGAAAACAAAACCATTTTGTTGGAATTGCTCGTGGAGGTCACTTAGCAGCACGGGCTTTCCCGTGGATGGTCTATCTTGCCTTTAGCTCCATTGGTGCCAAGAGACACCAGCCAGGTGTTGCCCCCTGCCAGGTGCACGGGCAGGGGCCCATGAATCTTCCTCTCTTCCACTCACACCTTTCCAAATCCAGCTCAAGATTCTACCCAAACCTTCCTCATTATTCCATCCTATACCAGTCTCCTCTCCATGAATCCCATGGCTTATGCCTTTTACCCCAAGTCACTTATTTCCTGATACTTTCTTTCTTCTCAAGTATATTCTTTGAATGGAAGAAAAATGGCATTAAAGTCACCAGTAAATATAGGCACCTCACTTAGTTCCACATATATATTTCTCATATTCTGCAATGACCCGAGAAGTGTTCTCTCCGTCACACATTAAAAAATTTATCTGTCACTTACTTTGTGTATAACTTATTTGTAGCTCCAACGAATATTTCCAAATTTCAGAATCAAAGCTTCATTGAGCTCCTAATATATCTCTTGCAGGGTCTGATATATTACTGGACACTTAGGACCTGTTCCATTCTCAGTAGGTAGCAGTCAGGGGCTGTTGCTCTGACTTTTGCAGTTTGAGATAGGGTAAGCCGAACTAGGTTAGAGTCTGTGTATGCACATGTGTGTGGATGTGTGTGAGCACAAGTACACGTTCCTTCATGTGAGTACATACGTGTGTGTGTGTGTGTGTGTGTGTGTGTGTGTGTGTGTGTATGTCTATGTGTGGGTGGGTGAGAAGACAACCTCAAGTGTGTCGTTCACCTTACTTTTGAGACTGGGCCCCTCTATCTATCCTGGAGCCCACCCAGTAGGTTAGGCTGGCTGACCAGCAGGCGCACTAGGGACCCACTGATTTCAAGCGCACACCCCCTCACCGGTTTTTGATATGGTTCCTGGGGGTTGAATTCATGTGCTTGTGCATGCATGGCACCGACTGAACCATCTTCCTAACTCATGGATGTCTTTTTCCCCGTCACAATCTCCGACAGATTTGTTCTCACCATAAACTTAGCAGCCTCAACATATGATTGCTTTCTTTCTTTAATCCAGAATGGTCACCTCGGCCATAATATGGGGCCCTCAGACTCCCGCTGAGACACGCTGTGCGTGTGCTTTGCGGGGATCAAGCCAAGTACCCACTTGCTCGAACACAAGCACCCCAATGCTGGAATCATCGGGCTAGTACATAGGCTGCTACAGGTAGGAGAACGCATGGAGAATGAAGCAGTCCATGGGGAGGGGCTGCTGTATGCCTGGCGTCTACTTCCTCCACCACGGGTTATTTTCGCCCCCACCCTCAAATGAAAGTGAAATTCAAATAAAGATATCTCCTAAATCTCAGATTTACAGTCACACGTCGCCAATGAATCCCACAGACATACAGGCCATGTCCCCAAAGGACTCCGGAACTCTGAACCACACCCACTGCTCAGTCCTGCTGCCCCTCCCTTAGGCGGCTTCCCGCTACAACAGCCTTTCTCAATCCATGGGTCACGTCCCCCTGCGGATCGCGAGACCCTTTCTCAAGGGTTGCCTAAGACCATTGGAAAAAAACTAGACATTTACATTACGATCCATAACAGCAGCAAAATTACAGTTAAGAAGTAGCCACGAAAATATTTTATGGTTGGAAATCACCGTAACGAGAGGAACTGTTTGTTAAAGGGTTGCAGCATTAGGAAGATTGAGAACCACTGCGCTAGACCCCGAGGTGACCAATACTCACACAGTGACCCGGTACACCGGGACCTCAACACTAGGTACGCCAGGGTACCCAAGGATGCAGGCTCCAGGGCGTTCCTTGCAAGGGTACCAGGCATGGTGCCCGCGGGCGGGGTGAGCCGGCGCTGCGCGCTACACCGTGGTACCGCCCTCCAGGCAGCAAGCCGGTGGATTGGATGGGAGCTGCGCAGGATGCTCCTCCTGAGCGCCCCGCAGGGTGCACTCTCCACGCTCCAAAAGCCCAGAAAGCCCCAGACACGGCAAACTGGTACAAGCTTGCAGCCACCCTTAACTCTGCAGGCTTCCAGTGCCTCGCCCGCCCGGGAACCGCGTTGGTTTTCCATATCTTATCCCAGTCTCTGGCTCACTGACCCAAGATTCGTGCCTTCCTGGCTCCAGGCTCCTCATGGCTGGATCCCTCCCAGTGTCACTCAAGCTCAAAACGCGGCTGTTTACTCCGGTTCTTAGTGGGGACAAGGTGAGCGCAGGCCACCTCTTTAGGACTACCTTGCCTCCATCCTGTTCTCCGTAAGTTCTCATAATGAAAATGTTGGTGATAAACTGGTATGCATGGCATTATTTACAGTTAAGTTTAGTGACATAGTTTTTGTTCAGTAGGTTCTTGGGTTTGTTTTGTTTAAGACGGTCTGGCCTCGAATTTGAGGCCATCCTCCTGCCTCTACATCCCGGGTGCTGGAATTATAGTAGTGCACCACCGTACCTGGTTGGGACATGTGGTGTTTTAGGATGAGTATTTCGCCCCCACATACTTTATACATCGAGGCTAAAACTTGCACCAAAGTGCAGTCAAGGTAGTTTAGACCACCCCTTGGATTATGCTTAGCAAAAGACAAGCATTGTTAATTGTAAACAAAGGTGACTTGATATATCATCTCATACAATGAAATTAGTGAGGAACGCAGACTCGGTACATTTGATGTAGTTCAGGAGAGAAGGGGAAAGTCCCGACTTGGGCCATTTGACTGCGGCCTTTGAAAAGGGGCTTGTTACAAACCCACTTCCCGTCTGCAAACACTGTTGCTCTATAAAGCTAAAAGACGTCCCCTGCTCTCCTTCTTTCGTGACATTGCCACGTCAGGGAGGCAAGGAGCACAAACAAGACTGAATGTGGGAGAACAAACGTGGAAGAACAAGGAGGCTCACTTATTTGTACCCTAGCACCAAGTCCGAAAGTTCTTTACGCATTCGTTCAGGAGAAGGTGAGACAGAGTTGCTTACTCAGAAGTTCACCTGTGGAGATAAATAATGAGGACAAAACAGAGTTTTCACTGATATCTCTTACCAGTGGATGTGGCAGAGCAAAGCCCACATCTTCATTTATGTGGTATTCTTCAGGGATCCTTCTGGAACCTTCCGTAGGAGATGTTTTACTGTGTGCCATGGTTGTCTAGTCCACTGACCCCCCCTTGGCTACCGAAGGAGCTCCTTTATAGAGCTTGGCCAATCCCCATAGCTGACACGTAGGCACAGAGAAGTGGCTTCCACTCCGGGCAGTTTCATTTTCTATTTTATGTATTTGTAACTCGATAAACAATAAAACAACAAAGCATCTCTGTTCATCCTAAGAAGAAACTAAACATTTGTATTTCTTATCAGATTTATCCCTTGAGGACATCAGCTGTTGCTATGATGTCCTTGGGGTTCCCAGTATACATTATGGTGACTGAGTACACACAGTGGGCTCAGCCCTGGAAATGCCCCCAACCCCATCAAGTGGCATGGGTGGCCACCTGTTACCCCAGCAGGAGAATTTGGAGTTCAAGCCACAAAAGGCACCACTGGAATGCTAAGAACCACAAAGACAGTGACCAGGAGAGAGCCTTTTGCTTCAGAAAACTTTTCAGAGTTTGAGTTTAAAATAAAGAATATCATAACAGGTGTGGTCCAAACTTCCAAATAGTGATCTGTTACTGACTTTCATGTAAGCTTCCATGGGTCCTCAAAAATGTCAGTGTCTTGTCATAGCAACTCTGAAAGCCAACCTGGGAGACACAGGTCAGCCAGCCTCTGGGGTAGCAGCTAGCAAGAGCACTTGATGGGCTGGACAGATCCACACACAGGTCTCCCTCCTAGTCTTCTTACCTAGACATCTGTCTGGGTTAAGCCTAATGAAGAGCTGGCTTCTTCATGGGACTAGTAAGTCATTTCTTGGGGGGGGGAGCATCCACCTTTTCTACTGTATTTGGCAACAGCTCTGCAGGTCTGGGGATTTTTCTAGTATGTTCAAAACTAAAGCAAAGGTTCAAATAGTGAAAGATGTTTCTCACAATAAAAAATTGAGACTCCATTTGGTAAAAGTTTGCAGAGTACACCCAAGTTTATGTCCACTTAATGCAATGGGTTTTTTTTTGTGTGTGTGTGTGTGTTTTAATTTTTGGCTTTTTTTTTTTAACTTCAAAGATAGGGCCTTACTCTGTAGAAACCTTGCTTGTTCTTATGAAATACTGAACTTAAAGAAAAAACCACATCATCCTTTTTGATGATCAGAAGAAAAAAAAAACATTGTACAGTACACTAAAAGGCAATGCAGGCCTATCATGCATGCCATCAGATGTTCTTGGAACAAATTAATGAACCGTGGCTCTGGAACATTCTAGAACAGTTCTGACATCGTTATCATACGATGACTTTTCCTTGAACAGATGGCTTTTACAAGAATATGTGCTCATTATTTAAAAAAAAAAAATGTCAGGAAAAATCGAAACCAAAAATAACACAGCCAAGAGCAAACAATGGTAAAGCTTTTGGAAACAAAATGTTTCATGAGGGTGATTCATTTGGAACCACGTCCGTCCAGGGTGTGGTCATGAAGTATTCTATCTTCAAGGTGTGACACAAGCTAAGGTTTTTACCTGGAGTCCTATCATTTCTACTAGAAAGAAAGATTCTAGGACATTATTGGCAATTGGAAAACATGTTTGTCTGAACATGGAATGAGGTTCTAGAAATTCTGACTTGGAAAAGAAATCTCTCAGGACCCTGGCTGGTAAAGTCCATTTTTTACGCCGTTTGCTCAGGTGTCTCCACCCCACCCTTGATGTCATACATCTGAAACTCTTCTCTCAATCCCGTCTTCTTGATTTCTGGAGCTATGTTCTCGATGCTTTGCCTTGATTTTTCCTCCTGAGGAAAGCTGCTGCTGGCTGGCTTCTGAAGAACATCTGAATTCCATGCTCTCACACAGATTCTTTCTTCCTCTTTGAGGTTTTCCCCTGTGACCTCATCAGCAGCTAGAGAGCTTGGCAGCCTTGGTTCTATAGCTTCCTCCCGGCCAGTCGTGGATGACTCTGCCCTCCTTAATAATGTCACCTGCTTGATAACTTGGGTGTTTCTCTATCATGATTACGTGTCCTGCTTAGACTGCTAGCCATACAATTCATTCCCAATCGCTTTATCAACACTGCCCCTCCCGTGTGGAAATCCTATTGTCGTGTGCACTGTGGCGTGACACCAGGCACAAAGACTTACGAGGGAATCAGCTGAGCAGAGCAGCACATACTCAGAACTCAGGCTTGGGAGTTTCAGACAGGTAATGAGTTGACTAATGAATCAAAAGAAAAGATCTGTGGGAAAAATTTATCCAGGATTCTGCTAGACTAAACTTACTCCTTAGCACACGTGCCTCTGAAAGGCATCCTGCTTCCTCCTTAGCATTGTTACTGAGTCTTTAAATATGTTTTTTTTTTTAATAAAGGGATTCTCAGTTAAAAAATGAAAGAATCTGAGACACACATGCAAGAAGAATTAAAAATAATCGAAACACCAAAATCCACTGATATTCTGATATTTAAAAGATTATTTGACACAACATTTTTGTTGTAAGTTTATAGCAGTCCATTTTTTCCTTTGAGAATTCAGTGTCAGGGTTTTTCTAAAAAACTTTATTTGAAGTGAAAAATTTGACCTTCATAGATGTCTAATTGAAAAATTTTCTGGAAATTCCTGGAAGGGGATTCCTATGATTCAAGATTTTCTGTTCCTTTGGCTGCCTTTACAGAACACAATTAAATACTCCTTAAAGGAAAACACCACCTTAGACCTCAGAATACCTGTGCCCTCTTGATAGTGGACTGACAGACACTAACATAGATGGCCTCATACAAGATGCAAGTCTATGAAAAACAGCAGACTAAAGAAAGACCTACAGGGAACTAAACGAGAAAATAGACAGACTGTAAATTGATTTGTTTAACAGGCTGGGAAGTCTTCCATATAGCAAATGTGAATAACAAGATGAGTATTATATTAGCATAATTGAGAATTCATGAACTTGAAGATCTGTCAGAAGAAAAATATAGATCAAGATACACAGAAAAAATATGATTACAGGATGTATATATTTATATATGTGCACATACACACAGGTAGCCATATTGTTGAATGTTTGTGGGTGTTGCTCCCAGAAGACACTGTCACACAGCAGCTCGCCCAGTCCTCTGGCCCCTGCAGTCTTTCCTCCAGCTTTCCCACTGATATTCCCTGAGCCTTAGGTATAGGGGTCGTGTTATAGATGTCTCATTTGGAAGCAGGCACTCCACCTTCTCCTATTCTCTTCCTTCCGATCCCTTGGGGAACTCTGGAATAGCATCTGTCTGCTGCAAAAACCTTTCCTTGGTGAAAGATGAGAGGTGACCCATCTATGGGCACAAATACAAGTATTTAGAAGGAAGCTGAAAACGATATTAATTTAGCAACATGGCAGTAGCAGGTTCTCTCCTAGGATCTGTGGATCAGGGTACAGTTCCAGGCATGAACTCCATTCTATTGAGTGGACTGTGAACTCAATTAGAGAACCGATAGTTATCCCCAAGATGTGAGTGTCATTATGGAACTCTTGGGGCTAGCCTGCTGGGATGATCATTGCTGTGTTTTTCAGGAACTACAGCCATGTAGTATTGCTGATAACATTTCTCCCTTGGCAGCTTGCATAGCACCCTCTAATACTATGAGAGTTATCCTTCAGGGAGGAAACCCCTGGAACAGCACCAGCTTCATTTGTCCAAGTCCTGTGGTGGAAGCGGGTAGTATCTTCAACAGTAGGGTCTTTTCTTCAACAACCTAGAGCAACAGCCTATATTGTTTGGGGTGTCTCTTGGACTCCCTTGATCAACAACTTGAAGGGATCTATCTATGCCTTGTCGGTCAATAGGGTTTTTATTAGTCTGCGGCTCTTGCTGGGGGATTATACTCTTCATGTGGAGTAACTCCATTTTTATGTAAACTTATAGAATAATAGATTTCCCTCTGTTTCCCCCCCAAACATCCTTAGTATTGTACATCAGTCTTCTCTCTTCCTCTGTACCTCCCTCCCCTTTCCCAATTAATTATTATTCCCCAATTATTAATTATTCCCTTTCCTAGCAGCCTGTTCTACTATCTTCTCTATTTTTAGCATATAATTTTTAAATGTATTCATCATCTCATTTTAAAACATACGTATTTAAGCTAAATTATACTTTTTTGTTTGTTTGTTTGTTTGTTTGTTTTGTTTTGTTTTGTTTTTTTGAGACAGGGTTTCTCTGTGTAGTGTTGGTGCCTGTCCTGGATCTCACTCTGTAGACCAGGCTGGCCTCGAACTCACAGAGATCTACCTGGTTCTGCCTCCTGAGTGCTAGGTTTAAAGGCGTGCACCACCACCACCCGACTCTAAATGATACTTCTAATTGCAGGTCAGTTTAATATTTTGAACTTTATTCTTACTTCAAAAAGTTGGTGTTGATACTGGCATGGGTGTTGGTGTGGGGACTGGTGTTCAGGTTGGTGGCCAGGTGATGGTGAATGTTCCCAAACCTTTCCTATATTCTCCAAAGAGGAAGTTTTGGTGCACAGTAATGGGATTGGAGGTGTAGCTCAGTTAGTCGTGTAGACGTTGGAGTAGGTACAGTTTATAAGTATAGTTCATACACCTGCCCAGGCAACAATGGTGTGCACAGTTAAAATGGGTCTTCCCACATCCGTGAACACAATCAAGAAAATCCCTTCCAGCCATCTTCAGAGGCTGGCCTTGACCTAGACAATCCCTCCTGAATGTGCCTGGAGGCTTGGTTCTTTGCCCCCTAGGTGACTATCTAGAGTCTGTCCAGTTGGCAATTAACGTTAATCATCATGGGGAGTGTGGAAACAAAAGTGAGTTTTGGCCAAATGTCTGGTATTCCCCTTTCACCATCAAGCTCGGGAACTCTGGGAAATTGGACTAATGGGTCGTAATCTCTTGCTGGCCACCAGTTCAGAAGAAGGATATTAACTTGTTAGGATATTAGTTAGATACAACTGTATTAGACTTTAGCAGTTGAAAAGATTTTGTGAAAATGTGAGCAACATAATTTTTTTCCTTCCAATCCTTCCTCCTCAAAAAAAAAAAAATTAAGCCAAGTATGGCAGGGCATGTCTATAATTCTAATACTTGGGGGACTAAAGCAGGAAGATGGCAAATTTGAGGATAGCCTGGGTTACACAGTCAGACTGTTTTCAAAAAAATATGTTAATTCATTTCTTCACTTGTTTCTTCCTTGGTTCATTTATTAAATCAGAAAGCCCAATAATGATTCTGAATTGTCTGTGAATTTGAGGGAGCAGGCTGCTCACAGGATATCCAACACAAATGAGCCACGGTTCACCATTGCTGCCCACAAATCCAGCTATGGTCGGTAGAGACATGACATGATTTCAGTATGAGGTGGATCCCATGAACTTCTTAGTGTAATCAAGAAAGATTTCCTGGTTGTAGTAGTGCATGCCTTAATCCCAGTGCTGGGGAGGCTGGGAGACAGGAGGATTGCTGCAAGTTCAAGGCCAGCCTTGGCAACATGGTGGTTTTCCCATGTTGAGGGTCTAACGTGGTTAGACCTGGTTCTCTGATTCTCACATTTGTGTGACAAACATTTTATTCATGAAGCATTCTCCCTAGGTCTCAAGCGACTGAGGTGTTGAACTTTGGTTTATATTTTGTGTTTCCACAATGGACAGGACCACAAGAAATGCAATATGAAGAGTGTCTGTGAGGAAGAACTAAGACGAAGACATTTATAATGCTATTAGGACCTGTGGAAATTAAACTACACATGCTCTGTGTCTTTATCTTCAGCCACATCAATAAACAGATGTAGGAACATATGTCTTTGCTATGTTTTGGAACAATGTTCTATCAAAAATTGGCCTTGAATCCCCTATATAGCAAAGAATGATCTTGAATGGGAAAATGTACTCAGGGGCTGGGAACAGGGAGAGAAAATAACAGTCCCTTTCACACAACTGCATAGTATTTATTGGTTCAAGAAACATAAAATTCTGGATAAAATTAATAACTTGGAAAAACATAATAATAATAGTAATAATAATAATAAATTAGATGGGATAGAGGTGGTTTATACCTTTAATCATAGGACTAGGGAGGCAGAGGCAGGCAGATCTATGAGTTCAAGGTCAGCCTGGTCTATAAAGTGAGTCCCAGGACAGCCAGTGCTATGCAGAGAAACCCTGTCTCAAAAGAACCAAAACAAACAAACAAAACAAAACAAATTAAAAAAAAAAAAGAAAAAGAAAATAAATTAGGTATACCAGTTGGAAAGGTTATTTGGCCTTTAAAGAATGCTCATGTGTGCCCCCTGGCAGCTCTTGGCTATACTGAGGTTCACAAACTCCCTAATTGCCCTGTTCTGGGAATACAGCCAGGTCTGTCCTAGGAATGCCAGGCTGGATTTGGTGTTCATGGGTCCTGAGCTTCTTTCTTATTTCAGAAGCTTCAGCAGAGCATTTTTGTTTATCACCTGATGCTGTTTATTATACTTGGGGGCAGGCTTACTGATCTTAGTTTCCTGGAAGAAGTTTTGTAGACTTGGTATCAACTTCCCCTTCAATGTTGATTAGAATTCATCTTTGATTCTATCGGAGTCTACAAGGATCTTTCTGGAAATGTTTTGAATTGGCTGTATTTCTGTCTTGAGTAGAGGCCTACTGAAGTAACTTACTTGTTCTCAATTGGTTGTGGTAGCTGTGGTGGGGCGGTGTTTTCCATTGTCTGTGAGATCCCATCTTGCCTGTAATACACATAACCAACACCATTTATCCTCTCCACCCGTCCACTGTGGAGTCACATGCCGGGGCCCTTCACTGGGTGCCCTGGTGGCTTCGGTCTGTTCTCCTGTTCTAGTGAGTCCTGCTCACGGTTTATCAGGTCCATGACCAAACCCTACCTGTTACACTCATCCGTGCCTTTTCTGTCTTTTTATAGCACGAATTCTAATTGGTTTTCATTCTCGAATCTTCCCCCACTTTGTCTTCCTTAAACTTACTATTCTGCCCAGGCCCAGGTCTGTGGCTCCAGAAGTTTCCAGTAGGGAGGACTCTGGACAGCCCTCTCAGCACTGACATTAGCCACCCTTGACCCACCACTTGTCACCGGCCACCCACAGCCTCTGGAGGGACACACAGAAGCCTCCACTTTGTGCATGTGTCCATTTTATTTTACAAAAGTCTGAGATTGAAACTGTATCCAGGGGTAACAGAGGGGTTGGAACACACACTTTCTCCTTTGGTCCATTCACCGAAGAACTCCTTGGCAGTTTTCTGGTGTAATGAGTAACTTGCTGTAATGAAGAGGAAAAGAGACATTTACAATCAGGTCAAGAACCAGACCTGCTCCTGGATTTCCACCGACAGTTGCTTGCAAATACACAATAAAAATCAACCTATGGCAGGCATGTTTAATCCTTAGGGAACTGTCTAAGAAGTGCAAAAGGGAGGTAGGTGTATGCTTTGACTTAATATTTATGATCTGCATTTTGGACAAACCGATTATAGCCAGGAAACAACTATAAAATCAGGCACATTTCTTTTTCTAAGTTTGAACTTTTTTCTTTTATCTTCCTTTTGTATGTTTAAAGATGGGTGGATTTTATGAAGCTCCATCCTCTTCCTTTTGCCTCTCCAATTCTGGGGTTACAGGTATGTGCCTCCCGGTCAGCTCAGTTTAACACACTTTATTTCTTAGGGCAAAAGTCATGGCTTAGGGAAACAGGTGGGAGATCAGACTTCTCTTATGTGTATTAATATAGAGTTCACATGCGAGACGCCAATACAGCATCAGTTCTCAACTTGTGGGTCGAAACTCCTGTGGGGGTTGAAAGACCCTTTCAGGGAACTGAATATCAGCTATCCTGCAAATCAGATATTTACATTCCGATTCATAACAGTAGCAAAATCACAGTTATGAATTAGCAACAAAACGATTTTATGGTTAGGGGGTCACCACAACATGAGGAACTGAATTAAAGGGTCACAGCATTAGGAAGGTTGAGAACCACTGAGGTGGTCAATACTCTCATAGTGACCTGGTACACAGAGACCTCAACACCCGGGCACCCAAAGATACAGGCTCCAGGGCACTCTTAGCAAGGGTAGCAGGCATGGTGTTCACAGGCCTGGGAGTCTGGGCTGCACACTAGTATTAATAGCATGCCTTAGCTAATATTCATATTGGTAATTTGAGTTCCAGTGAAAGCTTCAAGTTTTTATTTACTCATTTTCAGATACTACATTTTGCTGTGATAAAGTGTTCACAGTATGGAATTAAGCTCTCTCCTTCCCAAGTTGCTGATAGTCAAGTTGTTTTTATCACAGAAGTAGAAACTCTAACACACACATATACACACACCGTATGCACACACACAACATATGCACACACACAACATATGCATACACACAGATACACAGACACATATACATACATAACACACATACATACCCATACATGTACACATATACACACAGACACACACAGACACACACAGACACACACACACACACACACACACACACACACACACACACACACATACTCTCACATACATATTTAATAGTAGAATTTAAAATTTCAACTTGGAGAGAACTTTTTGCTACATAATTAAGTCATCCATCCATGCTTGAATACATATATGCAAAATCTACATAGAAAAAATAAAATATAGTGCATCTTAGCCTTAAACAAAGTAAGAGATGCTTTGGCAAACGTCTGGACATGCATTTGGCAAAATTTTGAATTCAGATCTATCAAGGAAGGGTGAGCCAACTCTGCCAGGCTGAGCCCTGTGGCCGGTTCCTTTTGTTACGATGAATGTATAGTGACATCTTGTGGCCATTCCAAAAACTGCAACTGGCCATTTTAAGTAGCGAAAGTTGATCAACAAGAGAAGTATGAAGAGTAATTTCACTGGGAAGACAGGAGGGCACTGCTTCTTCCAAGTCTCTCAGGGGTCTAATAGGTGGCCAGGAACCTCCTGGAAGTGTATGATGTGTAGCCCATGACGTGTGGCAGCTTCATAGGGTTCTCCAGATAAACACATCCATGTCCTGGGCCGGGGAGAAGAATCTTGCCTCACCTGTGAGGTGTTCTTCACAGGGGGATGGGTTGCTCCAGCACTGTATGCTGTTTACAGAGTGTGTGGGCAGGGTTTCTGCGACATGTGACAGAGGGATAACTGATCCAACTGGTGGCCTTTGGGAGCAGCAACTTCAAAAGGCAGCCCATTTTATGACCCCAAACACTTTTCCGCTAAATTTGATCAACAGCCTAAACTCACAACGGGCACCTGACTTTCCATAAACAGTACTGACAGACGGCCATACCCCAGGAGGTCTGCTCATTGGGTGCCAGACTTTAAGAGCCTATATCTTGAGGGCCTCTGTTACAACAGGCTCGTGGGGCAGCATGATGTAAGTCTGTGTTGGCCCGCTCCCGGATCTTCTTGGTTATTTGCCTCCGTATTATTCCCCAAAGGAGGGGAGAGATCTGCACTTCCCCCTCCCGCCCTCTGGGCCCTCCCGCCATTAACAATCAGTTGTATTCATTCTGCTTCTCTGAAACAAACTGACGCAAAGTAATTCTCCCCTAAATGCACCAGCATCCTTTAACTCCCCAAGCTACCGAGGGAGTCAAGCGTGGTGTTGAATTCCTTCAGCAAACAGAGTACTAATTATACTTTGTCCTTGCCACACAAGGAATCCACCCTTCTAGAACGGGAGCCACGTGCCAGCCAGTGACATCACCAGTGTCACTGCTGACAGCCTGCAGTTTCCAATCTGTATCCTCCCGATTGGTGTGGCACCTTCATCTGGGAAGGCCGGCCATTTACAAGACAGCTATGCCTTCAGGAGACGTTACAGGTGCAGCCCACCAACTGAGCCTAAACAGGTAACCTCTCTGAGACTGACTCCAGATGGCCGGTAGATGGCGGGCTTCTGTGGCAGGTAGCCCTCACCTCGGCTGGTCACAGAAGGACACAAGGCTTTTCAAGAGGAACTGCATCTTGGCCAACCATGAGTTAAGCATCTAGGTCACTTAAAGTCTTTGCACGTGGATTTCTCCATACCTCACTTACATCCTTCCGTATTATTACTCACTTCCCTGTTCCAAAGGCAAACGACTGGGCAGATTCTTGGGGGTAGGTAGCCTAAAGCTCGAACTGTATTCTGAACTTATCTGGAAAGGCCCATCTCCTCTTTCTACATTTTTAAAGGATTTGTTTTTTTATTAGTTTTTAAGTGCCCATGCCTGTGAGCATGTGTGTGTGTGTGTGTGTGTGTGAGAGAGAGAGAGAGAGAGAGATGCACATTTAGGTATATATATCTGAGTGTAGGCGTCTACAGAGACCAAAAGTATTAAGTTCCCCTGGAGTTAGAGTTACAGGCGGTTATGAGCCACACTATATGGGTGCTGGAATCCAAACTTGGGTCCTCTGCAAGAGTAGTATGTGGCCCTAACCACTGACCCATATTCCCCTCCCCTTTCTAATCTTAGATCAGAACAGCCTGGACCCTTCTTTGTCCTCCTGGAGCTGGGGAGGACTCAGAAATGAAACACCCCATGGCTTACCAGTGCATCTGCATTCTGACTGCAGACGGTCATTTTCTTTCCTCATCAAGGAAAGAGACGAAGTGTTCTAACTGAAGTCTGGGCTGAAAATAATAGAGCTGTGGGTAATCACAATCAGCAACCGATCCCTTTGCTGAATGTTTGCCTTTGGGCCAAGGGCAGTTTCCCTTACTGCTGAACTGATACAAACCACAAAAGAAGAAGTTCAGGGTTTCCACTCATATTTCCTCTACCAGAAGAGCCCAGACACTATGTCAGCCCCTTTCTGCCCCTGGATTAATGGTTCAGGAAACACTCTATCCTTGCTGGGAAAAACTTGCAAAATAACACTTACTTGCTATAATGTCATTACTTTGATGCTTCCCTGCGCAGAGAGAGAACACCCCAGGGTGCAACTGCCTGACCAGGGCTGACAGACCAGTCCCTGGATAGTCTCATAAAAAAAAAAAAGTTCATCAGCAAGATGGAACCAGTTCCATTGACTGCTGGATCTTCTCTTAGAGAGGATGCCGGGTATCACAGAGCCAGGTGTATTACTGGGTCTGTATCTGAAACTATAGAAGCAACATCTGTAATGGATCCATGCTATGTCCAGAGAAACATGTATAGTGGAGGGGTTCGCTCTGTGCCACAGAGGGGAGCCTCGTTTATTTGTCTTAGAAATGATCCATGGTCATTTCCATTGCAACAAGTTTGCACAAAGACCCCAATGCCTTAAAATAAGCAGGGCACTGAGATGAACAAAATCAAACTGTCACAGACTGCCTTCAGGTAACTGTCACCTACGTGACTCTGGGAGGGCCTGTGTCTGAGAATAACCCCAGTCTCCTAGTCAGTAAAGACTCGCCTGAGACTGCTGTTGGTGCCGCTGTCTGAAACCCTCAACTGTGGTTTTATTCTACAACACAGGCACTGATCCACCACATCAAGAATGTTCCTTTCTCTCTACACGAACCATGCTTGAAAAGAATACGCCCCTTTTTCTATTCCTATAAGAAAAAAAGCTCATAAAGCTAATGCAGCCTAATGCACACTTGGTGTTCTAATTCTCGGTGCTGGGAGGACATGTACATGACATAGTCAGACGTCTGACTTGGGGCACATCCTGGACTCTCCCTACCCCCGTCAGTTCTGACCACTAGAGTCGAGAAATGCCCAAGCCCACTCTCCTTGGCAAAAATGATACCCAGCCCTCATTTTCAGACTCACAAATCTATTCTGCATCCAAATAAAACATCATTTGCTTTAGATTAAACTTGTTTACAGTTTCCTGATTTATAGGTCCCTAGAATTTGAACTGAACATATAAGGAGGCAGCCCAAGGGAGAAAATGGGATAAGGTTATTTAAGACAAACACATGGGAGCCGGGCAGTGGTGGCGCACGCCTTTAATCCCAGCACTCGGGAGGCAGAGGCAGGCGGATCTCTGTGAGTTCGAGGCCAGCCTGGGCTACCAAGTGAGTTACAGGAAAGGCGCAAAGCTACACAGAGAAACCCTGTCTCGAAAAAACAAAAAAAAAAAAAAAAAAGACAAACACACGGAACAAAGACACGATGTTCAGATGGATCTGATGGGTGCAGATGATCCAGGGCCTGGGGAAAAGCAATCATGAAGAAGAAAAAAAATCTGGCAAAAAAAAATAGTTTGTGATTAGGACAGACCAAATTACAAGACATGGATATAAGTTGATTCTATCAAATTGTTTTTTTTTTTTCACCTATTGGCAATATTTCCCCCAATCTGTCAAAATATACCGATTGATTGATGAGTGATTTTTAAGGTCAGCCAATTTTTATTTACTAGATAAAAACAATTGGCTCTGTAGTAAAGGGCTTTCCTCCTCCTTCCCTCCTCCTTTCCTCCTCCTTTCCTCCTCCTTCCCTCCTCCTCGTCCCTGTTCTGGGCAGCTGAGATTTTATAGCAATCCGGCTCTGTTGTTCTTCCTCTCAAATGCTAAATAAAATTACTTGATGAATCCACTTCCAAATTCTCTTCTCAACTAAGAATTCATGAGAGCTGGGAGTCGCTTTAGGATGAACAACAATGGAAAGCTATGCTTGGCAGGAGAAACGGCCACTTTTAATCTGTGTGTTGTGCGTGCTAACATCCTTTCCCATGATAACTGCTGTGTCTGCATGTGCCATGCTTGCAGCTTTAAATATTCCTGAGCTCGAACATGGCAAAGTTTTCAAATCCTTCTGCTCTGCTTTTCCGTTCCGGTTTTGCCGTCGGCATGGCTAAAGGCAGCTGGTAACAACCATGCCACAGTCTGAATGCTAAGCATTGTTACAATGTCCTCAGCCAAGCGCCGTTTTTAAATCTCCTAGTGGGCCTGAAACGTGCACTTAGTTATTCCATTTTTATTTATCCTGAAGTATTAGATACTCAGTGCCATTGAAGACATAATTAAGATACAGGCTTAGGGTTTCTGGGATTTCAATCCACTGTGGCAGAGGTATGGCAGCAGGAACTGCTTAGCCCAGGCTGGCAGGAGCATAGAGTGGCAGATCACACTGAGGAGGTTGACCAGCAAGAACAGAGTAGAGCAGGTGGGAACCAGGGCTGGGTTGTAACTTTCAAGGCTCAATCATATTTTCCTAGCCAGGCATCATCTTTCAGTGACTCCACAGCCCATTAAATTGCATCAACAGCTGGAACTAAGCATCCAAACAAAAGGAAATGCATATGGAAGTGAATATATATCTATAAGAAAAAAATAACATCGCTTTCCACTCTGCTTATTAACGATGCAGAGGCACTGAGCATGTTATCTGTGGGATGAACAATCCCCTCAATAGAATCCAACATCAGGCATTCCTTTGAGTCCGCTTTTTCCTTTTCTCCATAAAGAATCATGGGAGCCTACCAAGGTTACTACTACTGCTATTCCTATTCCTCCTCCTCCTCTTCCTCCTCTTATTCTTCTTTCCTTCTTCTAGTGAATATGGCCTACTTATACATAAGCAATATAGATATATGTGTATAACTGAAAATATCTTAAACCATTAACAACTTTCAAAGGAAATCACACTTGATACCATATTTACAATCACTATGGGTTAAATGCCCCAGAAAAATACATGTTCAAATATAGCCCCCACTGTGAGGTACTAAGAAGATGGACAAGATAAAACATTTGAGAAGTGATTATGTTGTGAATGGATCAACCCACCTACAGATTCATAGCTTAGCAGGTTACTGAGCTCTCTTACAAAAGCCACTGTGGTGTGTCTCTTGGATGTGCCTCTCCTTACCATGTGACACACTTGGTCACATCAGGGGATTTTAGGGAACTGCCCTAACAGGAAGGACCTAACCTGGAGCGGCATCTCAAACATTAGCCTCCCAGCCTCCAGAACAATGAACTGACCCAACTTTCATTCTTTATGAAGAACACATCTTATGATAGTAAGTAATTGTGGAGGAAACTCATCAATAAAAGACCAGAAACTGCAGCTGACCCCCTCCCCAGTGGAGAAGCTTCCATGAGTATGGAGATCCCAATAGTCCACTGTCCTTTGCTATAGGTGATATTCAAATGGGCTCCAGTTTTAAGAACGTAGCAGAAAAGTAAGAATGGCAATAGACCATTGACCAGCAGTTAGTGAAGTCACCCTTTAGAACACGGTACAGGAAAGCCGGTTTACTGAGAATGAACAAAAAGGCGGCAGCCTTGACAGCAGCTAGTTTCTGTAGTGGGGTACCATGGACTACTGGAGCAAGTATGTCTCTACTTGGTTGTCCTTTTACAGTTATGGTGAGTTCCTTTGTATGCAGACAATGTGTACCACGCAAAGGAGTATATTTAAAATGGGCCAGTGGCAGTTCTGTAAGGTCAGCATAAATGGCTGTGCGTATGACTGCCAACTGTGTGGTCTCGGCCATGAATTATGAGCCATGGAAATCAGAGTCATCTAATGTGGGCAGTCCTGGTCAACGGGTCTGCTCAGGGGATCCCAGCATTCCTTGCTCTGGTAGTTTAGGGAATCCTGGATCAGACTTTTGAAGACTCGCTCATGACTCCCTTTTCTGGCCTCTTGATGATGGTCATTCTGTCCATGGTTAAAATAACAGTAAAAGGTCAAAGACACTGGTGTACTTGGGCATATCAGTTTCTTACCATTGGTGGGTGAGATGCCTACCTGTCCAGAAAGCACAAACTAAAAGGCATGCGTGAACATGAGGAACAGCATGTAATTTCGGAAACAAGGTTTTGATAGCATTTGAGACAAATCACGGAATGATTATGAGATTAAAAATAATTTATCAATGAAAATTTTAATATGATGCCTTGAAGTTCAACTTTCTTCCATCGGTTAGATGCAACTAGGAGGAAAAATTATGGTGATGTACAGATTTTAGTCTTGTCTGGCAAATTAAGTTCCCTGCGCAGTGTGGGAACACAACTAGAAAAAGGTCCAAGACACTTAGGTACTGAGAAGGAGAATGATGAGAATTCAACTTATATTGGGTAAAACGTAGTACACATTTAGGAGTAAAATAATAGATGTTAGAGAACATAAGCTATTAAAATGCAGTTCCATTTAACCAAATAAGTTAATACCATGGGTTATATTTACCCCTCATATTTGGTGTTATATCTGAGGCATGATTTTTCGTTCATTTCTCTTCATGATCCCAATGATGAAAGTTATGATAAAAGGCAGAAAAATGAGGAAACTCAGGATCAGCCAGCTGTCCTGATGCTTGCTGAAGTGTTTTGTCCCCAAATATAGGTCTGGAAAAGAAACACCAGAAAGGACAGGTTGATCTGAAACTTAGACAAGCTCCTTCTTTTTTTACACTTTAATCCCATGCACGCATAATGTGATTAATATTTCAGCAAACTGCAAGCAACTAGCCTGGGGAAAATAAGAGAATACTTCCAAACCACACGACACATTTCCTATATGTCTTTTTTGCATATTTATTTAAATGTTCTGGTACTGACTACTTGCTTGGAGTGATGTTTGTCTCATGTGGTTCATTGGTAACATCAATCATTCAAAAGACGCCATTGACCAACCCCCCTATATCCTAGGGCTTTGAGCTCTTCTAGAATGGAGGGCAGGACCGCTGTGCCCACAGCAGAGCCTCTGTGGATGACAACATGCTGTGTATTTCAAATGTGGCAAGAAAGGACATTGAGGGTTTCCTTCACAGTCACAAATACGGGAAAAACCAGGTCTGCTCAACCGGACTCAAATTCTTATTTTATATATAACTTAATAGTAATTTTTATTTAAATATGTTAAAAGTCACTATGTTGACAGAGTGAAGTGAAAATTCAAGAGAAAATTTGTTATGAAAACTTTTATCCACTGCCTTGCTAAATAAGTTTCTCTTCTTAAATGAACACATTTTTATAAAATTATATTTTTCCATGTGGTATTAACACTTTATGGATACAAAATCTTCTCTTTTTACCTTCACCACATCCATGTGTATCTGCTGGGTTATCTCGAAATAAGTACAATCAAGGCAGTGAGAGATTTAGACAATGAAAGATTTAAGACACTGGGGAAAAAACTGAAGAAGATATTAGAAGATAGACTACCTATGTTCATGGACTGATAGGATTAATATTGCGAAAATGGCCAATCTACCAAAAGAAATCTACAGATTCAATGTGAACCACACCCAAATCCCAATGCAATTCCTCATAGAACTTGGAAAAAATTTAAATCTCACATGGGAATACAAAAGACCTAGAATAGCCAAAATAATCCTAAGCAATTAAAAAAAAATCTGCTGAAGGTATTCTCATCCTCGATTTCAAGTTATGCTACAGAGCTAGAGTCATAAAAACAGTATGGCGCTGGCATAGAAACAAACACATTGATAATGGAATAGAACTGAAAACCCACATGCAAGCCTGAACTGCTACAGGCACCTGAACCTTTACACAGAGACCAGAAGTACACTTTGGGTTAAAGACCATATATGATAATGGTACTAGTCAAACCAGCTAGCTACAAGTACAAGAATGAAACGAGATCCTCGTGTCTCACTAAAAAACAAACCCCAAAACAAAACAAAAACACCTCAAAGTTTTCCACATGAGACCTTATACCATGGATCTGATAGAAGAGAAAACAGGGAATAGGTTTGAACTCACTGGCACAGGAAAGGACTTCCTGAACAGGAGCTCGGAGGGGCAAACATTAAGACCAACGGTTGACAGGTGGGACTTCATGAAACTAAGAAGTCTCTGAACAGCAAAGGACATGGTCTTTTGAGTGAAGAGGCAGTCCACAGAATGGGACAATCTTTATTAGACATATGCCAAATAGAGGGTTAGTGTCTAGGATATACAGAGAAACAACAATAACAACAAAACCCAACAAACAGAGGACCCCCAAACCCCCTGAACATCAAGAGTAACAAACAAATGACAATTAAGAAACCCCAAAACAACAACAAAAGCAATCAAATTAAAAAGTGAAGCCGGGCGGTGGTGGCACACGCCTTTAATCCCAGCACTCGGGAGGCAGAGCCAGGCGAATCACTGTGAGTTCGAGGCCAGCCTGGGCTACCAAGTGAGCTCCAGGAAAGGCGCAAAACTAC